TGAACAGTCTAATGTCTCTGTGGCGTTTACCCACAACCAGCTAAGTTTCCTCCAAAGCTTCCCAAGATGACAGAAGGTGACGATAAATTGTCCAAATGACCTGAAACGTTTCCAAAATGCCTCAAACCATTCAACAAATCACCAAAAAAACAAGAGGAAAGTCTCAAAATCTACAAAAAAATGAACTAAAACGAAAAAAAAACTGTCGAAAATGATTCAAAACCAGCAAAAATAAAACAAATTTACTAAAAAGGAAGGACTTGGAAATTGTCCAATCACTGCTGGAACCCACGCTGAGCATCAGTATTATGGGATGTGAGACGGTCTGAAGGGCTTCTCTGACGTAGGACAGCTCTCAAACTGTTCATAGATTCATTTTTTATTAAATTTAGGATGAATCACTTTGGAGGGATTTTGGTCATTTCCACTGAGTTTTCAGCCGTTCCCCATAAAGCTGAGTTCTACTGGAAGACGTTTCAGCCGTCTTTAGTCAGAGATGTTTTTGTCACGTCAGACACATTTCTGAGTGAAAAGTTTGTTTTTCAGTCACCATGTTGAAGTTTTTGGTGTTTTGGTGACGTTTTGAGGCATTCTGGATGTTTGTTGGGTCATATCAGACATCGTTAACCATTCTGGCGTCGCTGTGTTTGTCTCTGGGTGCGCTCGGTTTCCTCACCCTGAGCCTGAGCGCCAGCAGCTTCAGCAGCATCTCCACGGTGAAGAGCCCGGTGAAGACCATGTTGAGGATGTCCATGATGTAGCTGAAGGTCTTGGACTGCTCGTAGTGCTGCGGGACACAAACACACCAGAGGTCAGAGGTCAGGCGGCGCCCGGCGGCGGCATCTCGGGCTCGTCGAAGCGTTTACCGACCTGCACGGCCAGAGTGACGGTGTTGAGCAGGATCAGGACGAACATGACGTACTCGAAGCCCGTGGAGTTGATGATGGACCAGAACTTGTACTGGACCGGGTTCTTGGGGATGTAGAGCTTCAGAGGCTGAGCCTTCAGAGCGTATTCAACACACTGACGCTGCAGGAGGACAAACACCAACGATCGCTTCTCTGTCATTCACTTTCATTTACGTCTTGTTGTCTTTTTGTCGACATTTTCAAATTCTACCTTTTATGTAGTTTTGTTCTCATTTCTGTTTAGTTTCTGCAACTAAAACTTGACAGTTAATTAAAACCACATAAGAAACAAAAGTTGAGGCTAAAGCGATTCTAAAACTCCACACGATCTGTAAATGTTCACTGATGTGCGTTTTTCTTCGACTGAATCCTAGTTTGTAATTTGGAAACCAAACATTTGACGTAAAACATTCTGTGCAAACCTGAAAACAAGACAAAACGAGACCAGACAGAAGCATTTTAAAACTAAAACGGGACAGAAGAGCTCTCTCTGGTGTCTCTAATGGATGAAAACTAGACTACAGCTCCGGTCGACACCAAAAGTAACATTTCAAAATAAAACGTACTCGCTGACGCAAAATAGTCACTGATGTCACATTTTTATGTTAAAAATGAAATTAAAGCTTCAAATTGTTTTGCTAAGAACGTTTTTTCATAACAAAGTGAAACCAAGAGTCATTAAACTGACAGATTTTCACCTTCATGTAAAATCAGCAGCTCTGATTGAAGCTTTTCTATTTCTGGAACAGTTTCTGTCATTTTGCTAAAGTTTCGACTCATTTTCAAAAAGCTTTGAAGCATTTTGGACAAATCTTTGGAGCAATTTAGTAAAACAACTTTAAACCTTTTTCAGGCTTCTCTGTTGGTCTGTGTTTGGTTCTGATGGGCTTTTTGAGGCCCACAGGTGAGTCTACCTGGTTCTTGTCCAGCTCACAGTTCTTGTACTCCTGCTCTCCCTGCTCCCGGAAGGTGATGATGACGAAACCCACGAAGATGTTCATCATGAAGAAGGCGATGATGATGATGTAGACGATGAAGAAGATGGAGATCTCCACCCTGTAGTTGTAGATGGGACCCGAGTTCTCTCCGTTGGCGTCGATGGCTTTGTACAGCAGCCTGCAGACAGAAGGTCCAGCGTCTTCGTGTGCTGACGGCAGCTTCGCTAAAGTTCTGCTCTGTGAATACTCACGCCGGCCAGCCCTCGAAGGTGGACACGGTGAACAGCGCCATCATCCCCATCAGCACGTTGTCGAAGTTGAAGTCGCTGTTCTGCCAGATTCGCTCTCTGACCATCGGGTGGCTCACGTCGCCGTCTTTGTAGACCACGAACGTTCCTCTGAAACCAGTCAGGCTTACATCAGCATATACTATAACCACAACCAGAACGCTCCTTCAACCTTTCTGCAACCTTCTTCCAACCTTCGACCAAAAATGTGTCCAACCTTCCCCCTACCTCAGACCAACTTTCTTCCAACCTTCCACCAACTTTCCTTCAACCTTTCTCCAACCTTCCACAAGCCTTACACAAACTGTCCTCCAACCTTAGACCAATCTTCCACCAACCTTCCTCCAATTTTAGACCAGGGGTGCCCAATCCTGGTCCTCCAGAGCCCCTATCCAGCATGTTTTAGATGTTTCCAACACACCTGATTCACATGATCAGCTCATCATCAAACTCTACAGAAGCCTGATAACCATCCTGATCATGTGAATCAGAGTTGTTGGAAGAGGGAAACATCTAAACCATGCTGGATAGGGGCTCTGGAGGACCAGGATTGGGCACCCCTGTTTTAGACCAACCTTCTTCCAACCTTCCTTTAACCTTTCTTCAGCTGTGATTACACTAAAATCAAATCATGATACCAAGGACCAGAGGCCAATCAGATCTGAATCGAATCAAATCAAATAAATTTGTTCCACCAAAAGTTGGACCCTAGGTGTAATGGAATCATGACTCCACAAATCAGAACCAGAATCTAATTAGAACTATAGAAAATCAGAATCAAATCAGTTTAAATCGTGACACCAAGAGTAACAGTTCAACACAACGTCAATAGTCAGACAACAGCAGCTCCAGTGTGGTTGAATGTGAAACCTACTTGCACTGCTCAGGAGTGTGTTTGGCCTCGTCTGTGCAGCGATAAAATTTACCCTGAAACACAGAACACAGCAACGAAGCAGGTCAACATTCACAAGTCATTCAACAGCTGCTTCGGAGACGTTTAGTGACGATAACCAGACTAAAGATCTCCTGATTTTCAGTCCAGAACCCTGAACCTCATGAAAGGAACCCAAACGTGCTGGACCAGTCCTCGTGAAACCAACTCTCACCTTGAAGAGTTGGACTCCAATGCAGGCGAACATGAACTGCAGAAGAGTCGTGACGATCATGATGTTTCCAATGGTCCTGATGGCCACAAACACACACTGGACCACATGCTGCAACACAACAACAGTAAAAATCAGCCACATAATCAAACATCAGGCAGGTGGTGTTTATAGATCAGTGCAACACCTGATGGACCCGAGACTCCCCAAACCGTTATGTGACTGTTGTATTTTGTGGTTCAAGGTGTGACGATGGCGGACATTTTGCGGTTCCAGGTGTTGCGGTACCTTGAGTCCTTTGGCTCTGTTGATGGCCCTGAGAGGTCGGAGAACCCTGAGGACTCGGAGGATCTTCACCACTGAGATGGCGCTGGAGCTGCAGACACGCAAACACAACATCTGCTGTTTATTCAGCTGCGTCAACTAACAAACCTGTTTCACATCACAGATTATCAGGTTTGAGATCATTAAATTATTTACAAATGATCATCAGGATGCAGCTTATTGGTCAGAGCTAATGACCTGATCAGAAAAAGTGTCTACTGGTGTGGCTTTTAGCAACTGAATGTGTTGCTGTGCGGCTAGCATGACTGCTAAAAATAGCTAAGAATGTTGTTTCAGTGAAAAGTTATGTAAGCTAATGTTGTGTCTTTATGTACCATTTATGTACTATGTCTTTATTTGCTAGCATGACAGCTAATGTTAGCTAGTGATATTGTTTCTTTTAGGCTACAATGCAGCTAATGTCAGCTAGTTATTCTGTTTCTCTATGACTAGCATGGCAGTTAATATTATCTAGTACTGTTTCTCTGCAGCTAGCATGGCAGCCAATGTTAGCTTGCGATATTGTTTCTCTATAGCTAACAAGGTAGCTAATGATAAGCAGTGATGTTGTGTCTGTATTGCTAACAAAACTGTTAATGTTAGCTAGTGATATCATTTCTCCAGCACAACTGCAAAGAATACTCTTTCTATGGCTGCTAATGTTAGCCTGAGTCTTCTAGCAGTAGGCTTACACTGAGCTAGCAATGCTGAGCTAATACATAATATAGTTGATGCAGTTGTGTTGCTAAGCTAGTCTACTTCTGAACTTGGTAGCCAAGAACCTTTGTGGCTAAGTCTGTTAGCTTTAGAAGAATAGAACACGCTAACTCGGATCCTTCCTGGTTTTCTTGTTGCTCACGTTATCAGCTAAACAGTTCAGTGGAGGGTTGAGCTGCTGTCAGGGAACCATGAACGTTTTTAATGTCCAGGTTAGTAAAGACGGATTCTATGAACATGATCTTTATTTTCTAACAAACACTGATTATGATCCGGTTAATCAGACCAAACTGGAGCTTCCTGTTTAGTTTGAAGATGGTGGAAGTGAAGCTTTGTGAACCTGCAGCAGAAACACCAGCAAAGACAGACGAGGTTTGGATACTGACTGCAGGAAGAAGGAGACCAGAGAGACGCTGACCACCAGCAGATCCAGCAGGTTGAACCAGTTTCTGCAGAACGAGCCCTGATGGAGGAACGCTCCGTGGACGGTCATCTGACGGACAGACGGGAGGTTAGAGCCACGTGGGGGCGACAGAATCACTTCGATCGAGCGGCGGAGGTCTTACCTTCAGCAGAATCTCCACAGTGAAGATGGAGGTGAAGGCGTAGTCGGCATAACCCAGGATCTACGCACAAACACAAACAATTCAAACACGAAACATCTTCACGTCCTTGCTGTAGCTTCTGTACCTCCTAGCTACCTGCTTTATGTCCGAGCCACCTTTTTAGCTTTGTGCCACCTTCTCCTTCACCCTCCTAGTTTCTGCAGCACCGGAGGCTACCAGCCCTACCATCCAACTGGCTGGGCTCGCAGGGGAACGATAGGAGGGCCACGTGCTAAGCTAAGCCAATCTTTCCCCAGCTATCCAGCTTGCATCTACTGTTGCGTCTGCAGTTTGTATCCCAATGGATGCTAAGCTAGCAACGAATAAACCACACACTTCCATTTGCAAACTACAGACTAAACGCCCCGAAGCAGCTTGTACTGCTGTCAGAGACCTGATTTAGTCAGAAGGACGATGTTTTTTAGCCTCACTAGCTTCACCGCTGACAGGCTAAAGCTTGTGTTTGATCCTCAGTTTTGTGGGTTCATTCTATTTTACTGCTAGCGGTCCTTGTCTGAGTTGATCCAGTTTGTCTTACATCGATTATGCTCCATTTAATTTGGCCTTTTTAACATGTTAATTAGTTGATTTGTGACTCATTGACCTCTGTTATATATTCACCCTAACAGATCATCAGATTCCCGTCCTAACGTTTAACCTGCTCTGCTTTGCACGTTTTTAGCATTTTAGCACCGGAGCCGGTTAGCTTCGGCAAAGAGAACCTGGGCGATGAAAACCAGCACTGGAAGGTTCGTGGGAACAAAACCAGCAGAGGAAGGTTAGAGTGGAGCTGGAAGGACAGCCAGTGTTTCC